TATGCCATGTATAACTATTACGAAATATGCTATCGATAAACACGTACACTCGGAGATGCACAAGAAGGCCATGTCATTTAATAGAAGTGGGAAGCAAAGAAAATCACGGCGTTCTCAAAAGCTGCAGATCACTGGGCTTCCATGAAAGTCCGAAGAATCAACATTACATAGAAATCACACAGCAGCAGATTCATTTAATCTTTTACATAAATTTGTTAAAAAATAAAGACACATTTTCATCCATGCAAGCCTGTCATTATTGTTTTCTTTATCTTCAGACAAATGCTAATGATATGTAAATTATATGCAAATTAGCCGCCACTCTGATACATTTTTCTGGGGAGAACACTGTCGAACGGCATCCGACCTCACTAACACCTGACAGAATAGTGTACGTTTCGTCAGTCAAAGCCGTGTTTGCATTGTCGGCATAAATCACAGAATATTTTCAACAAGATGATAAACTGAAATTTGCCAGCATCTTATCACACATTATGTCAACAGACAAATAAACTCTGCCGTGAATGATTACTTTTTGATGGCCGTCACTATCTGACGTTTCTGCAATTTGATTGCTATGAACAAAAAAATCTTCGGGGAAGTGAAAAACTACATCGTTCTGTCAGGTGTGTGTTGGGTTTGGAGCACAGTGGAGGGCGCAACTCACGCGACCTCATCAGGCTATTCCAATAAATGTGATAAACAAACTGCAAATAAATCTAAATAATCTGAGAATAAACTTTGAAACTACTATCAATGTTTATACTTTGTACGTATGAATGTAGCATGTCTATCAAGTCTGAATTTGGTGTACTTCCAACCAAAACATGTAGTTTCTATATCCAGATAAAATGATGTCACTATTATGTAAGTGATATTGATCAGTATTATCACGGGTCATGCTTGTTTTTCACAATATTTTACTAATATTATGGTATACAGGGCATAAGTCTCATGCTCGCCTTGCTCTCTGACACTGTACAAAAAATATTGCTACTGAAACCAGAAAGCTCCAAATTGAGTATGGGCTTCTAGGTGATACAATATCCCAAGTACATGATACACAGTATTCAACTGGTCCACCATGTAGTTGTTCCTCATCAATTACTCTGACATAAAGCACTGTGAGATGTAAACACTGAATACAACATGATACTTGAGTCATTACACACTGTACAGTACATTGCTT